AGTACAGATTTTGCCCCCTCTACTTCCTAGTGGGAAAAAACCCCTTGATGTTGTCTAGTGTGAAGTTCTTGTGAATGATGAGATAATGTCTTGCATTGACTCATTCTCACTTTCTTGCAGCTCTTGTATGTTTTAGGAACTGGAGTACTACTATAGATGGCTAAGAATGAAATCTAGGATTTAGCTTGTTAGTATTTTCAAAATAGTAGATTTCTGAATGTGAACGTTTAAAATCAGCCGGAATGTTTTGCTGTAACAAGATCCGATTGAGCTTACTGTTTTACTTCAAAATACAGTAGAAGTATTTCCAGTTTTACAACTTCAGAACTTGTTTTTTGTTTTCTGAATAAGTAGTACGGTGTGAACAAGAGCAATTCCTAAGCATGTGCATTTTACGTTGTTTGTTTCTTACAAGGTTTAATAATTGAAGCTTTAGAAACTATTAATGTGCTTAATATCAAAAATGTGCCTCTTTTGTTCAGAAACTAATACTTTTGAAATTACTTCATGATTTTTTCTTAATTAAGCACTCCTAAAGTTAAATTATTGCTGAAACTTGATGTTTGCATAAGACTAATTATTTTACCTGAGTGACTTCTCTATATAAAGCTGTTGAACTTGCTGTGTTTGAGTTTATGTTAAAGTTCATCATAAATACTTTCGCAGAATTGAAGAGGTTTGTAATAATATGTGAAGTTCTTAATGCACCCTGCATTAGATGCTTTATCTGAGGAGTTGTTCGTGACACTCAGAACATTTCTGTGCTCTGCAGGGTGGGTTAAGAATGTAAACTGAATGGTATGTGATCGTGGATCTTTATTTCTCTTGACGTGCTTTTCTTCTAGTGTTCTAGAATCAACATACCATTCATTTACAAGTGTTAAAATTCTGGTGTATTTAAAGCTATAAGAAAAACTCATGACTGGGCTTGTGATGTTAATATTGCCCCCCTACTGGGGTTATTTGTCCTTGGGTTGAAGGGTTGGAAATCGTGCCAAATGGGATAACATTGCCGGTGGACTTCCAGGGGAGGAGTACGGGGGAGGCCTTCGTGCAGTTTGCTTCACAGGAAATAGCTGAAAAGGCTCTAAAGAAACACAAGGAAAGAATAGGGCACAGGTGGGGATGGATGGTTGGTTGGCTATGTCACTTTTCTTATGGTAAACAATTAAATCCATATTCTCTCTTCTGAAAGTGTTAACATTCGAGTAGAAACAGTATTTCGGTCTCAAACTTGGTGATCAGTAATGGTATTGCTGATGTGCGTATGGCACGGACTGTTTGGATTTACCCAAAACGAAAGAGAAGATTGGGCTAAGCCTAAGTGTGCTTTGGAAACTTGGTGATAACCGAGAAGTGCAAAACTGGTAGCTTGAAAGCGACAAAGTTGAGAGACTATGGCTTTAACTTCTCAAATAGCACCAATTGTACCTTTAGCTCTAAAGACATGCACAGTTCTCTTACTACCATAAGAAAATGTGATATTTTCTAAACTTGTTTTATAAGTTGAAATGTAACAAATTTTCTTACTGTATTAATCATCAATGTAATAAGCATAGCTTTCAAGAAATTGTCACAAAGGGTTTTTATTCTATTTCACTTGTGACTATTTTTCATTGAAGCATGCACTTTTTGCCTACGCTGAATCACTGAAGCATAGGCTGGGTTCACTAGCACATGCAGAGCTTTTTGTAGCACCCTGATGGGTTAAAATCTTGGTGGAGATCGGGTTTTTAACCCTCTGTTTACGTTGCCACATGAGCAAAAGTGTGCTGAGTTGAGTGGACGTCAGTCCCTCCTGTGTTTTTTGACTAACACTTTAAATTGGGGGGAGGAGGGTGGGGAATCAGTATTGCTCCCCCACCCTTAAGGTTGGGATACTGTGAAGTATAAGGAGCATGTAAACCCTTCGGTAATTGTAATTTCTTGAAAATACACTGATTTGAAAGTAATGTAGTGCTTATAATAGTATGTCATTGCCTACATAAAGTAAAGAAACCTGGCTTAAAATACACTGCCAGTTTCGAGGCTATGACTAAATGGCTTGTTTTATTGTAACGTTGTGAGGTGTTTGTGGAAGGAGTTAAAGACTGACTTCCTTCTGTGGAAACACTTGTAGGTACATAGAGATCTTCAAGAGTAGCCGAGCGGAAGTGCGCACTCACTACGACCCTCCACGCAAGCTGCTGGCAATGCAGAGACCCGGTCCTTACGACAGACCTGGTCTTACGCGGGGATATAACAGTCTTGGTAGAGGAAGCAGCTTGGAAAGAATGAGGCGTGGAGCTTACGGAGGAGGTAAGTGTGCGGAGTCCAAGAGGGAGCTGCTCACCTGAGAAGCAGCAACACTTGGACCTGGTAGTGTCTTCCCTGCTTTGTAACTACTGGTTTTTATGTGTCCTTGGCTTTATTTCTTCAAGAAGAAATGCAGTGTTCTAATGCTGGTTGTCTGCAGTGTGTTCATGTGTATTTGGATCTTTCTGTAGTTGAAATGAACATGTTGTCCAATCTATTTATAGGTTATGGAGGTTATGATGACTACAATGGGTATAATGATGGCTATGGTTTTGGTTCTGATAGATTTGGAAGAGGTAAGATCTCTCTAATAGGAATAGTAACTGAACTTACAATATGTCTCAAAAGAAACTAAAATACATCTGAAAGACCTAGAATGGACTCTTTTCTCTGCAGGGATGTCGGACCACAGATACGGCGACGGGACGTCCACCTTCCAGAGCACGACTGGCCACTGCGTCCACATGAGAGGTCTGCCTTACAGAGCCACGGAGAACGACATCTACAACGTGAGTCCCAGATCTGCCCTTCCCTTAAGTGCGTGGCTTTTTCTCGGATGTTAATGCGATGTCAGCTGCACTGCAGTTAACGAGCTTTCCGTTAGAGAAAAGGGCTCGCTGTGAAACGGAGCGGTTGCATTGGTGTGTTTTAATCTGTGTGACTGTTTCGTATGTAGTTCTTCTCACCTCTGAACCCTGTAAGAGTACACATTGAAATCGGACCAGATGGCAGAGTAACTGGAGAGGCAGATGTGGAGTTTGCTACTCATGAGGATGCAGTGGCTGCTATGTCCAAAGACAAAGCAAATATGCGTAAGTGTGACTGTTCTGGGGACGTGGCTTTACAGAAAATGCGGCACTGCAGTGTAGTGCATCTGCTGTGACTGGAAGGCCGCAGGTTTCATTGCAGCCTTTACTTGCAGTGAGACAAGCTGCGTGTAGGTTTGGTGTGAAATGCTCTCATGGCCGAATTTTCTTCTTTCAGAACACAGATATGTAGAGCTCTTCTTGAATTCTACAGCAGGAGGAACTGGTGGTGCCTATGGCAGCCAGATGATGGGAGCAATGGGTATGTGTGAACAGTCCCAACTGCACTTCTAAACAAGCACTTGCTATTTAAGGAAGCTGGCTAATTTTGTACAGCTTCTGCTTATTGTATGCCTGGCATAAAAACTCATAGAAATTCAACATTCTGTCTTAATCACACAGTCAAGGAATCAGAAGGAGTAGTCCAAGATTGGAACACTAGCACACTGGCAGGTATATAAATTTTTTGGGAATATATTTGAACAATAAATAGGTTAAATAAGCCGTGGCGGTGAATGTGGTGTGTGGTGGGACGAGTGGCTGCTGGGGGGGTGGTGGTGTGAAAGTGAAGCAGGAGATTGCTGTCCTCTTATTTTCTTTCCCCTCCCTTTTTTTGGAGACCAGAACATAGTCTCGTGATGGAGGGCGTATCTGTTACGTGTGACCTGACATTCAATCCTGGTCTTGGTGGTGAGGAAAAATATATTTGGAATTTGGAGAAACTGTCTGATTTGTTCTAGCAAACTCCAAAATTGTTTGGAAGTCTGCAATGCGTGTTTGGAACCCAGGTCTGAATGGCTGCCGCTGTTGGGTCTATAAAGCAGATACCCCTCTTGATTCCTGACTTGTCTGGTTTCCTGGAGTTTCTCGAGGGTGGTGGGGTGGGAGATGTGTGTGTGGATACGCTGCTGCTTTTGTAGAATTGTGATTAGAGAATGTTTGCAGTCGGGTGCTTTAACTGCAGAGGAGTTTTGTGGGTGTACAGAGCAGTGCTGAGGTGGAGCGCAGTGGTTATCAGTTTAGGCAGAAGTCTCCTGCGCATGAGCTGCAGTGTTGCTGTGATGCACAACCCGTCTGAGCAGCAGTAAGGCTGTGGGGGCTGGCTGCAGGTTGAGTGACTCGGTTAAGGAGTCGGCTGCCTGCGCAGGGCTGTGTGCTGTGTCAGGGGCAGCAGGGCTGTGTGGGGTCATGGCTGGAGGTTGGAGTCCCTTTGGGGGTGTGCATTACATACAGCAGCAGATCAGTCCTGCTGCGTCAAGCCCATAGAAACTGCAAAAGTAAAACCTTAGCAAGTGCAAGAGAGCCACCAGCGCTTGGCTCTTAAAGTTCTTGTTGCCTCTTGATTGTAGGAACATCTGTAGAAAGCCAGTCCCTTTTTTCACCCTTGTTATCCTTGGGAAGAGGGTTAGCTGGGCGACAGAGTGAGTTCAGGCGCTGCTAGGCAAAGGGTGGATCTGTTAGTGAGCAGACTGGTGAGCGAGCTCTTACGGTTTTTATTCTTAACTTAAAAGGAAGCCAATCCAGTTACGGTGGTCCAGCTAACCAGCAGCTGAGTGGGGGTTACGGAGGAGGATATGGTGGTCAAAGCAGCATGAGTGGATATGGTAAGAGCATTTCTTCACTGGTTTCAGCTGGGCCAGGTGCAGCTGGCTCAGCTTGTGGTACAGTGCCCTTCACTGCTGTTGAAGGGCCGGGGTACTGACTGGGCAGCACAAGCACCAAAAATTGAAGATCTGGCTGTTGTGAAATTTAGAACTAATGGAGAACTGGAGGGGAATGGGTTCGAAGCAGGGGGGTGGGTGGGGGGAATGTGGGAAATGATTTTGAAAGGGGTCGGACATGCCCATCTCCAGACTTCCCTTACCTTCTCACTGTGGAAGCTGGAGCCCATTCTGGTGTAATAGCCAGCGGGGAAGGCACATGGGGGCTGGGTGTGCTCTGCTTCCACAAAACAGCGACAGAAGACGCTGGATTCAGATGGGGGAGGAGGGCGGGGGGCAGGGCAGAGCTGGCTCTTTCAATAAACTTGATTTTGGGTGTGAGCTGTGAACTGACGCTTTGCAGTGTTGGGCACAGTAGACGGTGTTTACGAGGTGGCCCAGCAAGGACAGGCGTTGGGGGAACAGTGCTTCGAGTCGGCCTGAACCAGCTGTGAACCTGCTGTCGGTTTTCCCCCTCAGACCCCGGGAGCCAGGGCGCCATGAACAGCAGCTACTACAGCAGTGGGAACCGTGCGTCCATGGGAGTGAACGGCATGGGCGGCATGTCCAACATGTCCAACATGAGTGGTGGCTGGGGAATGTAACCAATCGCTGACTTTTGGTCGCATCTTTTTTAAAAAACAAAAAAACAAAAAACTAAGTTTAACAGTTTTGCAATACAAGCTTGTGATTTATGCTTTACTGTAAGTGAATTCAGGATTGTTATTTTAAAACCTTTCAGGTTCAGTATTTTTGAACATACAGAAATGAACATTCATCTAGGATGTAATAACCAAGTTGAGTAAAGACTATAACTGTTAAACAACTCTGAGCGTTTCTCAAGTTAGTTTTGTTGTAGGAGTGTATTTAAGCAGTAAGCGTATTTAGGTTAAAGCTGTTTGAATTATGTTAAATGTTGCTCTTATACCATATTACATCTGACACTGTTTGAATACATGTTGAAAGAAACATGCTTTTTTGTAAAGAAGCAATATAGGAGCTGTGTCTGAAATTCAAAAGTGAACATTTGGCATGTTAGTTCTAGTTTATTTCTTTTAATACCCTGTAAGGCACGTTAAAGCTTTTCTTTTTTAAGTTAATGGGGGAAACATGTTGAGACGCAATACGGCTACTTTAGGATTTTGGTCTTGGTGTTCGTATAAAATTCTGAGGCCTTGATTTAATCTTTCATTGTATTGTGATTTCCTTTTTAGGTGTATTGCGCTAAGTGAAACTTGTTAAATAAATCTTCCTTTTAAAAACTGGAACTCCTTCCTTCTTCCTCTCATACCCCCTTGTCACTAAGGCCACCAGAGCACAGTGACTCTAATACTCCTGTGTCTGCTGGGAGTGTTGGCACTGCTCCTCATGAGAGCTCCCACCCAAAAGCTGGCCTTGGGGGGTGCTGAAGAGAGAAGTGTTTTTCAGCCAGGGGCTGGGGGGAGGGATTAGTCCAGCACCAGCTGCTGTGGGTGCTGAGCGAGCAGAGTTTCGAGTGTCCCCAGCCTGTGGTGTGCCTGCAGTGCAGCAGGGTCTCAAAGCTGCAATGGGGGCAGAGAGGTAATCCCGTACCTTGTAGGACTGCAGCTTAGTGCAACCATGTGTCAATTATTGAGCTTGTCAAAGACTGCCTACAGCACTGGTTTTATAAGCAGCTTGATTGCAGCTTTGGAGCATGGGGAGTTCTGACAGGACATGGGATCTGCATTTCTCAGGGTTAGAAACCGGAGCTTCCTTCCTACAGAGAAGCAAGCACCATCACATGCTCCAGCTGTGGAGCTATAGAATCCTACACCCTGCACACTGCAGCCATGGTTGGCTTTGCTGTATTAAAAACCTGCTTCAGCAATGGGATGCTGACTGTGGTACCTCAGATGCAGCAGGGTTGCTGCCGCAGTGCAGCTCAGCAGAGTTGGGGGGAACTGAACAGGCAGCTGTAGAGCAGGATCTCACTGTGGTTTGTGCTGTTCCAAATGAAGCCTTGGAAAGAAACAGCCTGGCTGCAGTGATGTGCGCTTCAGACAGACCTGTTCTGCGTCACACGGCAGCTGCCCAGCAGTGGGTGCTGCTAAGGACAGGGTTGCCTTCCCCTGGCCTTCCCCCTTGGCTCTGGTGAATTCTGACAGCGGATCAACCTTGCTGATTGAGGCAGCGTCTGAGCATCAGCCCTGCCGCGTCCCAGGGCAGTCACAGCGGCTGGAGGCTCTGCCTGTGCCTCTGCTGGGGAGTTACCTCTGCAGAGCACCAGCACGATCTGGCACCTTCCAGGAGAGCACAGGGGATGCAGATGTTCGTCAGTTATTGTCAATGCACTTCAGTGGTCCAGCTGCAGCCCTGGGTGTGCACAGCCATACGAGAACATTCTCTCCCTGGATCCCCGACTGATGGCTGTTCAAAATCAGCACTTCAATCTTGCTTTCAGTTTTTGCAAAAGGCTTTATTGTGTAACTACCGTACTGTGGTCACAGCGACTTTCAGAACAAGTACAAGGTGTAGTTTTTTGACTCTGCAGTGAGCGGAAGGCACATTCATTGACACTCATCATAAAGCTCTTTCTATAGACAATTCATAAATTGACTTTTCTTCTCTGTACTTAAAGCAAATACAAAACTGTACACCAGCAATGGAACATGGGAGCACCTACAGTGATGATAGAGGACGTTCATGTGCAGACAGACAGCAACATCTAGAGAGATCAAATACATGTAGAAATGCCATATACAAATTTTAATACAAATATCTATAAAAATCAGAAAAGTGAACTCACTGTTTAGTTTCAAATAGAACTTCATGGAAATTACAGTCGATATACTTTTCTTAATTATTCCAGTTGGAGTAACACTAGCTTGCATAATCCCTACAAATTATTTTACACTGCTCTGTCTTCCAGTGGAAAATATTAGAGACCAGACACTGCTGCACAGAAGATGCCTGGAGTTCAGAATTTAAAAAAAATAATGGCTACTTTCCAATGTTAAAGTGGTCCTGGCAGGGTCACAAAAGCCTTAGGAGGAATTGGACGAACACCGCTGAAGGAGCAAAGTGTGACAAGTATCGCAGACACGGACAGGTTTAGGGTACGATGGCAGTGCAAGTTCATTACTGGAGCAAGTGTTGCAGAAGATGTCCCCACAGTTCCTGCAGTGATGCTACAAACAGAGTTAGAATAAGCACAGCTGCCTGAAAACCGAGCATCAGGAAGAGAGAAAATGGACCTTAAGTGTTTGGAGTCCACTGACATCATCCTCCACTTCCCAACTGGCCCAACCCTCCCAGCAGCGCTTGCCCCTGCGTAGAGGGGTGAACACGCAGCAGTGCAATTGCTGTGCAGTGGTGCAATCCCTGCCCAGCCCTGCTCGCCTCCACAGCCAGAAGCTGCTCACCCCAGGCTGGCAGGCAAACAGGCCTGGCCAGGGGCTGGAGGGGAGTTCTGCAGCTCTGCACAGCCCGCGTGCATCACCGTGCAGCCAGGCCCAGGCTTTCGGGACAGCGCACACAGGCCTGGCCCTGCAGAGAGAAGATCTGGTGCTTGGGCCACCAGGTGCCCTGCACAGGCACACACAGCTGTCCCAAACCATGGAGCAGGACCCCGGCAGCAGGCCCCTATGGCTGAAAGGCACTGCACAGCCTGTCAGCACCCAGTCCTCAGCACCCAGAGCTCAGCAAGGAAGGGAGCTGAAAAACAGCACAGGGGGACACAGCCCACAGCTGATCCCTACCAAGGGAAAACACCCAAGCAGAACAGTCTTATTTTTAGGATGGAAGATACTAAATTACTCCTTATGCAGTTATCACACCACCAAGATCTGGAATTGAAGCAGGCTTCCCTAGCAAACCAGGCAAGAACACAACTTTTTTGTCATGGAGAAAAGGAAAAAAACCCCACTGAATAACACTACCTTCCTTCTGGAGATAGAGAATTCCTTCTCACATTGCTTGCAGTGTGTTGCTTCATCATCCTTCAGCCAGGTATGACCCTAGAAAATTGGAATGGAAACCTCGCTGTACACACAGACAAACTGGTAAAATAAGATTCAAGGGCAGTTTATCAACATTTAGGTACTTTTCAAAAGCAGGATAACCGTGATGAAACTTGAAGGTGTTAAACAATATTGATGAAATGCAGAGTACCTTTAGTGCTTTATTTACTTCTTTAATATCTTCCATCTTCAACTTCGATCTGGAAAAAAAAATCCCTCTGCATGACTTCACAGGTAGCTGTGTTCAGTTTTACCTGCCATTCCCCTGTCCAGCCACTGAATCTCAACAATAATTCCCCAGTCAGCTCTCTCTTACAACTTTGAACCACTCGGTACCACCAGAAACTTTTGTCACCTTGGGGTTTGCTGAAGGAGAATATGGGAAAAGCACAATTCTGCTGTAAGAACCAAGCATTTCCTGCACTGTTTCCTGTATCAGCCAGCTTACTCATGCAAGGATCTTCCCATACTTTTATTTCATGGCTGTTGTTTCCCATGCATAGCAAATGCCTCCTAAAATTCTCAAGTTTCTTGATTTAGATAACTAGATGCACTCTGTTGTTGTTGTTCCAGACGCCAGGTCACATCATGTACAGTTCTGTTCCTAGAACTTACTGGCTGAGATGAAGTCCCATCTCTTGAAGAGCTTGCTCCTGCTCCTCACAGACCTTCTCTAACTGCTGCTTCTCATCTTGCAGTTTTCTCAGTTCCTAGAAAGTCAAGCACAAAACCAAGTTTTCTGTGTTTGATCAAGTTCGATCCTTAACCTACATCAGACTATCCAAACTACCTACGCAGTTCACAAGCTCCTTTACAAAGCCACCTATTTCTTAGACTTCATGTTCAGAATTACATGGGTAATTCTACCCATGTGTAGAACACAAACAACAAAATCATTTAATCACATTTACCAGAAAGAGAGGAAGATTTTCAAGCTTAAACATCCTTGAGCACAGCTAGAATGTCCTGTGCCCACACGTGAGCATACAGATACTGGTGTACAATTGTGCCTTCAAAATCTAAACTGTTCAATACGCGGGAGCAAATTCTCTTCGCGTACAGAATGTTCATGCTTAAAAAATAAATTGCATCCAGTTGTTTTGAATGCTTGAAAATGTGTTCTTATTTCATTACATACAGTTGAAAGACCTCACACCATCATTGAAAGCTCTGGACTTGCCATTTCCTACCCCAGCAGGGGTATCTCACCATGGGAGAGCTGATGAGCTTTTTGTCCCCAGGCATCCCACCGCAGCCTCAGCTGCTGGCTCATGCACAGCTCAGACACTTGCACAGCCAAGGCAGGGCAGAGAGCAACCTCCTCAGCCAGCCCTCGCTAAGCTGTTCTCATTGTCCGAGCCCTCTATTGCTCCAAGTTTCTTCTCCTGGCATTTCATGTGCAGATTTGTGTTCTGTCATCCAAGAGTTTGAAACCGTTCAGAGTGTGCTACAGAAGAAACACTATTACAGATGCAAACATTGCACTGGTTCTAAGTGAGCTTTAATCCTAACGCAGCACGTTTGCACTGTGCATACCTTTTTCAGTCCTTCCATTTGTTCCAATTCTGTTTTAAGCAGAGTGGTAGCATCCTTCTCTTGGTGTAGTTCTCTTTGCAAAGTCTGTCTTTGTTCCTTTTCAGATTTTAACTCCTTTTCCAGAGTTGAGCTATTTAAAAATAATTCATTCTAAGAAACCCTATAGCAGAAAAATATCCTATAGCACTTAAGGATAGCAACAGCGCGAGAATAAACCTTGTCCAAAAGAGGGCAAAAACTAGAGTGGGGTTCTGGGAAATGAAAGAACAGGGATGTTATGGTAGCAGACATCAAAAACTGTACTAGCATTTTCAGGTCACAGGAAACAAGCAGCAATGAATGGCTAGAAGAAAACAAAACCCAGTCCCGGCAGGTACAGATTTGGCCACCCGTGTTTAAACAGCCATGTTTGAAAATGACACTGCCCTGAGGTCTGAACTGTGCAAAACAACATTTGCAACAGGTATTGTAAAATCACAGAATCATTGAAGTTGGAAAAGACCTCCAAGATCACAGATCATCATTTCCTAGATCTTGCACATGCCTGTCAATACTTGCTGAACCAAATAGAATTCAAACCCACCCCTCCTCAGACTTTAGCACAAGAAGTGTAGAAAGCACTTTCTTAAAGGAAAAAAATCTGATCAGATTAAAGATTAAATCACCATTTACTATCCAGCTGTGACATCTGCTGCCGACAAGTGTCAAGCCTGCCTGCAAGCTCTTGCTTCATCTTGTTGCATCTTTCTTCTGCA